TGTGTGTGTGTGTGTGTGGCCAGCTCAGCCCACCAGGGGGCGGGTCTGGCTGGCATGTGGTGCTGGGGATCGAACCACGGTCCCTGTTCTTTGCCAAGCTTGTTTCAAGTAGGTGCTTTAGACCACTGAGCCATCTCTCCAGCCCCGAACTACTGGAAATTGAACACAAGGCCTTCACACTGAGCTATACCCCTAGCTCTTTTTTAATTTTTATTTTGAGACAAGGTCCTGCTAAGTCACCACACTGTGCAGGCTGGGCTCAAACTTGCCGCATCCTACCGCAGCCTCCCGGAGTGCTAGATTACAGATGTGCAGCACTGCATCTACCTTTTTGTGTTACTTTGGTCTGCCATGTTAGCTCCCAGTGGTTTCTACTGCCCCTTTCAAAGTAGTCACTCCCTATATCTATACCTATCTATGTCTTTACCTCTGTATAGAACTATACTCTTTATTTATTTATTTACTTATTTTTTGGAGTAGGAAAGATCCTTTATTGGGGTGGACACGGAGCACGCATGAGTTCAGGATAAAACTGCTAACACAAGCTGGGGCCGTGGCACCCTGCGTGGGGACACGTGGAACAGCACGGCTGGCCCCACCCCTGCCACCAGCCGTGGTGAGACCCAGCTAGAGACACGAGACACCTGGGTCCCAGGCTGGGGACCTGGTGGGGGCTAGGGGTCAGGTTACTGAGGAAGCATCTAAGACATCTCACTACTGGGTCTGAGTCCCCTTTAACCAAAGCATGACAAGTGTTACAGCATAAATAAAAATGCAAGGAAATGGGGCCGGGGAGATGGCTCAGTAGAATAAGCGCTTCCCTGGCAAGCACAAGGGCCTGAGTTCAATCCCCGGTTACAAAAAAAAAAACCCGCAAGGAAAATAAATACATCAGCTCCTATGAGGTTGGAAGTGGTGTGGATGGGCGGGACGGTGCAGCAGGGAGGGCGGGTGCTTACACACAGGGCGGGCGGTGGCCTAAGTGTCCTCGTGCATGTCAGAGCTGTCTGTCCGTGCCACCTTGAAGGGTGGCGCTGAGCTCTCGCCGTCCAGCTCCAGCTGTTCCTGGTCCCTCTTCTTGGCAGTGTTCTTTTTGTCCCATTGCTGATGTAGGTAGCGT